AGTCTTACTGTGTTGCCCAGGCTAGAGTACAATATTATAATCATAGCTCACTGCAACTTCAAATTCCTGTACTGAAGCGATCCTCCTGCCTCAGCCTCCCGAGTAGCTGGGACTATAGACACATGGCACTGTGTCCAGCTAACTTTTTTACTTTTTGTAGAGATGAGGTCTTTCTACATTGCCCATGTTGGTCTTGAACTGGCCTCAAGTGATCCTCCCACGTTGGCTTCCCAAAGTGCTGGGATTATAAGCATAAGCCACCATGCCCTGCCATCACCATATTTTTTAAGAAAGAGAAAATAATTTAAGAATAATTTTTCAATCCAGTGTCCCACATTAACCAAGTCATTACATGCTTTGATTAATGAATTCCTTTAGGAAAATTTTCAACCTTTTTTTTTTTTTTAATAAAAACAGGTAAAGAACACCTAGGCTTAAATTTGGCACTGTCTTCCTGTCATGTGGACCTTCATCAGACATCATCCTGTGTGAATGGAACCTGCAGCCACACTTTGGTGTACTACACCGCTGTAGCAGATTTTTCTCGAGATGGAGATAGAGTTACAAACATAGTAGTGCAACCTATAGTCAATGAGGATTTTGTGTGGAACAGCTACATTCCAGACAGCATCCAGGTTGACAAGTTACAAAAACATCTTTATAATTTAAGCTTTAAAAAATGTGTATATTTTATCACTACAACCTGTAAACTTTTCTTTTAAAAATTATTTGATAAATTATTTTAGTTTTTAAAAGATTCAATTTTCAATAACTATGATAACAATAATTAATTAAAAATTATTGAGATTGCTAACCAATTTATTATCTATCACTAAATAATAATTAATGGTAATATTTACCAAAAATATCTTTGCTTTTAAGATCAGAGTAAAGGATGTCCCAACTGCTTACTGCTATTCATTTACTGACCCACATATAATTACATTTGATGGCAGGTAATTTCCTGAAAGTTTTTTCTTTTAGTAGTTTTTGGTTTTTCTTGGTTTTGTTGCTTTATTTTAAACAGCATACTGTTTTATAATTTCTTAGTCCTAGTCACTGAAAAATTAGAAAGTAAGGCATGTATAGTCATTATTGGCTTGGTTCAAGTTACTAGTTTGTTTCTGTAGAATTTTTTGGACTCAAAATCTAGTCCCTAATAAAAAAAACTATGGATGAGTTATAAGGCTGAACTTGTAAAAATGAAGATTATTACAAAGACGGACAATCATTTTTACTGGACCATTTATTTATTTTTAATAATGATTAAATTATTTGATCTAGAGATATTTACTGAGTCGCATTTCTATAAGATAATAAAACAAACATTACGATGTAAGCAAAACGATTAAACTAACACATTAGAATTAATTCAAAAATGACTCCTAATATTTGACAAGAATACTCAGGGGAAAAACTATTATAACCGTCATGAATATCTGGTTATTTGCCTCTGGAACTTAAAGTAAAATGGGCAAAATGACCAAAAAGTAATCTAAGCTATCTTATTATTAGTATCTGCCTAGAAAGATCTAAACTCAGTTATAATGTTTTAAGGGATTCATGATTCTAAGATGTCTTTAAGGAAAATGATGAGAATACCTCATTTTGGACTCAAAATTTTCTTCATTATTCAAAGTAGTTGATATTTTTTAAATAAAAAAATTGTAATGTGATTAGTGTCAGTAAAATCATTCAATATAAGTGAATAGATGTAGAACCTATTCAATAAAAAATTATACTCCAGCTGTTTGAGCAAGAATTGAAAAGTTGGAGGAATTGATCCCACATGCAAGAATCCTTAATGGTTAAAGCTAAAGGCTTGGAAGTTTTGGTAGAAAAACCTCAAGAAAGCATAGTGATGAATTTAATACAACAATTCAATAAGATTGATTGTGCAACAACTAGGTGACAAGCCAAGTTCTAAGTACTGGGCATATGGCAGTGAACAAAATAGCTGACTTTTGATAAGGTGAGAAGAGATATAAACACACATAATAAATGACATATATGTTGCGTCTGAAGAAGGTGCACATTGTGAAGAAAACTAAATCAGAGGTGGCAAGAGAGGGCTGAAAGTAGGGGTTGCAATTTATATTAAAATAGCATGGTTATGGAAGGCCTTTAAATGAGGGTGACATTTGGACAAGTACTGGAAGAAGGTGAGGGAGATAGCCATGTGTATACACATATAGGAGAAGACCACTCAGCAAGCTTGCCCTGCTCAAGAGAGCCACTTGACTGACCAGAGTGGTGAAAGCGGAGAAAGAAGTAGCGGGGGAGATCAAGGTGTTTATCACTACTTTGTTTCATTCAGTGCATACGAATGAATGCTCATGATACATAAAGCTATTGGAAATCTAGATTTCTCATTCTAACATCTATATTTCTATATACGTATATATATACAGAGAGAGACTGACTATAAATAACTTCAATACATATTTTTGATTTATAACATACTAGTGTGATATTTTACACTAATTCTTAATGCAATTGCCTTTTGCGATTGATAGGGTGTATGATAATTTCAAGACTGGAACGTTTGTGCTTTATAAGAGTATGTCACGTGATTTTGAAGTCCATGTACGTCAATGGGACTGTGGAAGCCTTCAATATCCTGTGTCATGTAACTGCGGGTTTGTTGCCCAAGAAGAAGGTGATGTAGTTACTTTTGATATGTGCAGTGGTCAGCTTCATGAATCACAACCATATTTATTTGTAAAGAGCCAAGATGTAACCAGCAATATCAAGATAAGTGAATCTTACTTAGGAAGAAAAGTCACAGTATGTATGATTCTTTAATATTGAAAGTATTTTTCCTTTTCTCATTTTGGATAAACTTCTATTCATCTCTATTAAATTGGGAGCTATCATTTTTCAAAGTTAGTTTGTTGAAGAAAATATCATTTAGATTAAACTATGATCTTAGAATGAATACAGTTTTGTTTTTCTACCACATACAAATAGACACAACATAGTTTCAGCTGTCAAATCTAAACTGCCTTATTCAAAAGTTTTCTATGACAACTCTGTGCATTATTTATAAAAAATGTTTTTGACAGTGTCTACTAAATGGTATACTAGACAAAGATGATGGCAGACATAATTAAGAATAAAGATTCAGAAATAGCTAACCAACTTTTGAAATGAATACAGTATGGTACTACCTCAGGAATGCACTGGTAGACAAATGGAAGAGAATATAAAACTGACAAACAGACCCAAGATTATATATTCACTAATATTTTGTAAAGATAGTATTTCATATCTATGAGATAACTATATCTTAAGGTCATGGTCATCTTCCTCTCATCTTTCAAAAAAGTAAATTCCATGTAAATAAAATTTAAATTTAAATAAAAAGTATTAAAAATTTTTAAGTGTATGGTCTTATGACATTTAATGAAGTGAATAATAATTTTTTTTTTTTTTTTTGAGACAGAGTCTCACTCTGTTGCCCTCACTGGAGTGGAGTGCCGTGGCGTCAGCCTAGCTCACAGCAACCTCAAACTCCTGGGCTCAAGCGATCCTCCTGCCTCAGCCTCCCAAGTAGCTGGGACTACAGGCATGCGCCACCATGCCCAGCTAATTTTTTCTATATATTTTTAGTTGTCCAGATAATTTCTTTCTATTTTTTTTAGTAGAGACGAGGTCTTGCTCTTGCTTAGGCTGGTCTCGAACTCCTGAGCTCAAACAAGCCTCCTGAGCCTCCCAGAGTGCTAGAATTACAGGCGTGAGCTACTCAGCGCAGCCTGAATAATAGTTTTTGAACATAACATTATGTATTTGAATTCCATCATCAAAAATCAAAATGCAAATCAAAAATTGGGAAAATATTTGCTAAATCTAAAACATGTAGTCAATATAGAAAACACTCAGCTATCACTAATGCATAATCAGCATATCAATTAAAATGAGCAAATAATATAAAAAGGCATTCCACGAAAGAAATCAAATTGATAAATATGTCCAAAAGTACAAATAACCAACAAAAATACAAAAAATTTAACTTTATTAGTAATCAAATAAGTCAATATAGATCAAACATCTCTCATACAATATTAACAAGAGTACAGATAGTAGAAGTAGTTACAGTCTTTCCAGAGATCATATATGCTATATACATAACCCCTACCTACGTATGTTTAATTAGCAAGAAATTTAACTTCTGGAAATTTATTGTAATAAATTATTGAAGATGTGCATAGCCCTAATGATGTTTATTATGTCTCTCCTTAAAAGAAGGAAAGTTACAATTAGTGATCAATAAAAGGATTTAACCAAAACTTTAAATATAATGATACCACATAAGAGAACACTTTGTAGTCATGGAAATGATGGAGTAGGTGTGTATTTAGTGACAGGCAGAGATATGCATGAAATACAAAAGAGGTTTTCAAAGCATTTGCACCAAGATCTTAGCATCAGCTACTTCTGGTTGATTCAAATGTAAGGTTTATTTGTTTTTAAAACAATTTTCTGTAATGAACACATACCATTTTTGTAAAAAGAAAAAAAAGAGCTATTTTTAAATTTTAAAAAAATTGAAAGAGGAAAAAACCAGAAGAACAAACACAGTGGTGTATCTTCAGTAATTTTTAGAAAAGATCCACATATATAGTACATCCAAGTGGCTGGTCTGAGAGAGGTGATATTCCTGCGATGGAGAGAGGTACTTCACCTCTATTCTTTTTTAGTTCTAGTTTTAGTTCTTTGAGAAATCTCCATACTGTTTTCCATAGAGGTTGTACTAATTTACATTCCCATCAACAGTATATAAATGTTCCCTTTTCTCCACATCCTCACCAACACCTGATATTTTTTGTCTTTTTAATAAAGCCATTATGACTGGGGCAAGATATCTCATTGTGGTTTTGATTTTCAATTTCCTGATGATCAGTAATTTGGATCATTTTTTGATATGTCCATTGGCCATTTGTATGTCCTCTTTTGAAAAATGTCTGTGCCCACTTTTTAATGGGATTATTTGTGAGGTTTTTTGTTGAGTTGTTTGAATTCCTTGTAAATTCTGTATATCAGTCTCTTTCAAATGTATAGTTTGCAAATATTTTCTCCTATTCCGCAGGTTGTCTGTTCACTCTTGATTTAGTTTGTGGGGCAGGTGCTTTTTAGTTTAATTAAGTCTCATTTGTCTGTTTGTGTTTTCGTTGCCTTTGCTTTTCAGGTCTTAGTCATGAATTCTTTGCCTAGATCAATGTCCAGAAGAGTTTTCCCTAGGTTTTCTTCTAGTACTTTCATAGTTTCAGGTCTTACATTTAAGTCTTTAATCCATCTCGAGTTGATTTTTGTATATGGTAAAAGATAGGAGTCCAGTTTCTTTCCTCTGCATATGGCTATTCAATTTTCCCAGCACCGTTTAATGAAAAGGATGTCCTTTGCCCCATGTATGTTTTTGTTGACTTTGTCAAAGGTCAGTTGGCTGTAAATATGTGACTTTACTTCTCAGTTCTCTATTCTAGTCCATTGATCTATGTGTCTATTTTTGTAACAATACCATGCTGTTCAGTTTATTTTAAATTATTTAAATAAAGAGATTTCAAACAACATACCTCAATAAAAAATAAATATGGTAATCAAATTTCAAGCCAGCAAAATACAAAACCCCATTTCTTTGGCATAGAACATTAAAAGGAAATTTGTAATTTAAAAAGAATCAGTATTTTATTCTCTTTTTATGCTGAAAGAATATTTCCTATTTTTTAAATTATAGTTTTTTCTTTATCCAAATTGAATATTACATCAATATCTTTTATTTCTGTATTTCAGATTTGGTTTTCTTCTGGAGCATTCGTTCGTGCTGATCTTAGTGAATGGGGCATGAGTTTAACAATCAGAGCCCCTAGTTCAGATTATAGAAACACTTTGGGACTTTGTGGTACCTTTGATGGAAATCCAGAAAATGATTTCCATGACAAAAATGGGATCAAAATTGATCAAAATTTTAATAATTGTGTTGCTTTTATTAATGAATGGAGGTAAGAAACTATTTTTCACTTCTAATTGTATTAATATTAGACTTAAAATGGGTGATGACTCAATACTCTGCTTTTTTAACAACACATGATTAAGAAAAATGTTAATGTACAAATCACTATCCCTTTCTGTTTCCCATTGGGAAGGATTTTACCGGGAAAGAGCATGTTTGACACATTGCCAATTTCTCTGACATCGCCTGGGAAACTATCCTATTGTGGCTGCTCATCAGACACTGCTTTATGGTATCCACCTTCGAATCATCTGGACAGTGTTTTTCAGTCAGATATTGCTTCAGGTTGCAAAGACCTCAAACATGTCAGATTCTCTTCTTTGATACCAGAACTAGATGTCACCTCTGAATATATTAATCCAGACACTCTCGTCAGAGGGACAAACAAACATACATCTGGCGAAGAAAATAATTTGAGTTTATTTCCACAAGAACAGAAGCATGTAAACCTAACCAAACTGGACTTAAATTTACAAAAAAATGCTGGGAATAAAAAACAAGATGCACCTAAATACTTGCACACCGAGAAACATAGGCAGGATCAAGGAAGTCACAGCCGAGAAATGAGGTGGAATCAACAAAACAGAGGGAAACGGCAAAACTTTCATGACTTTGTTTCTTTGTTTGCATTCCAAAGTCTCAGCCAAACGGACTTAGAAGAGTTTACTTATTTTTTCCCCGAGGACCATGCTGAAGATGTCCACCAAGAGTTTGTCCCTTCGTGGCCCACACCCTCTGGCCTCACTGAACCCAACACCTTGGCACTCTGTCAGCAGACTCTAGCCAACTCCAGCATAGGAAGGCTCTGTCTCGCTTTTCTTGGCAAGAGACTAGACAGTGTTATAGATATGTGTGTGAAGGATGTTCTATCAAAAGATGATCTTAGCTGGGCAGAAGCAGGTGTGGCCCTTTTAGAAAATGAATGTGAAAAAAGAATTTTGGAAGAGGGGAAATATAACACAGAAGAATACGGCAAGTCAATTGAAGACATTCTGTTAGTATTAAAATGCCCCAATCTCTGCAGTGGCAACGGGCAGTGTATGGAATGGGGGTGTGCATGTTTCCCAGGCTTTAGTTCCCATGATTGCAGTGACGTATATGGTAAGTGACTACTCTCAAACTTTGATATTGCATATAATATGTGATTATGAAAATATCTTTGTTCTTTTTTACCTTCAGTATCTTAACAGGATTCATTCAGATTATACAGGGGAAAACCCCAAGTTATATTAATTAATACATTAATAATTTTCTAACAGCATTTCATCTCATCTTCTTAGAAGTAAAAGCTGAAGTATGCATAACAACCTATAAGACACAATGTGATCTGGTGCACAGTATCTCTCTAAACTCATCCCCTACTGCTGTCACCATGTCTCTCCACTCCAGCCACTTTGGTCTCTGTGCTGTTCCTTGAAAATGCCAGGTTCACTTTGACCTCAGGGCCTTTGCACACAACTGGTTTCTTTACCTGTACAGAATAATTGTTTACTTAGAACTCAAATTTAATATTTTTAAAACAGTGCGTCTATATTATTTTGCTAATTACACTAATTTGCTTACAATTCTTTCTCTCTGACCCATCTATGTGGTACAAACTATTTTGTCTCAATAGTTAGAGAAAGAAATTCTAAAAAGTTGGTTTGGTTCCTTTAACCAGCAAACCAGTAATTCCTGGTTTCCCTCCCACCATTACCATCCTGCCCTTTTCCATCTACAGCATTTTCCATTTTAGTAAATGAAAATTTCATTCCTCTAATTGCTCACATTAAAAACTTGTAGTCATTTTCGACTGTCCTTTTCCTCTCATGCCTCAAATTTAATCCATTAGCAGCAAATCCAGCTCCAGCTTCAAAGCATTTCATCTCTTTCCCTGCTGCAACCTTAGTCAAGCCATCATTATCTCTCACCTGGGTCATCATAGATTCTCTCAAAGCTTATTTTCCGTGCAGCAGCAGCTAAAGTGACCCCACTGAAATGTAAGTCAGATCATGCTCCTCTGCTTAAATCCCTTGAATGGCCTCCATCTCTTCCAGAGTAAAATCCACAATCCCTCCCATGGCTGGAAGACCCTAGATAATCTAAGGCTCCTCTCTCACTTAATTCACCTACCATCTCCCCTGCCCCCAGCTCACCGTGCTTCAGACACACTGGCTACTTTGCTGTCCCACAAAGGATCCAGGACTGTTCCTACCTCAGAACCTTTGCACCTACTGTACCTTCTCACTAGAGCAATCTTACACCATATATCTTTATCACTGACTTTCTTCACTTCTCTCTTCAAATGTCATATTACCAGAAAATCCTCCCATGATTATTCAAAATAGTTTTTCTCACAGAATCACATAGTCATTATCTCCTTTAAATATAGTTAATATACTTTCCCCCACATTTCTGAAAATACTTATGTAATACATAATATTTATTTTTTCATTTATTTTTTATCCTCCCATGCTAGAGTGTAAGTTACATGAAGGTGAGGACTTTGTTCATTACTTCATCTTCAGTACCTAGAATAACACCAGATACATAGAAACTGCTAAATAAACATTTGTTCAATGCGTGAAAGTATGAACTGAACTAACACGTTTTTTAAAATTTTTCATAAAGATACTTAGGGTTCTGAATACACATGACATGATTTTGTACCCTATTGCTAGTAAAGTTACAATACATTCACTTAGACTTTGCCATTATTTAGGCAAAGGACTTAATTACTTTTATACACTGCCTATATCCACATTGACAAACAGATTTTGCTGATATAGATAATGAAATTTTGAAATTATAATACATTGCATTACTTGCTACACTATTTTATTACAGAATTATTTTTCTTATAACTCATTTATATGGCGTAAACCAAATGTCAAAACCAAAATGTATTGTAGTAGTAATTTCTTAATACTTGTCCTTAGTTGTTATCAAATATTAAAATATTAATGAAACCTATGTATTTATGCATTGGTAGTATCTGTAATGATGTTTGTGTTGGTTTGATGATAGATACTTTTTAAAATACCAGATTACTTTTAAAATTCAGTGCTTTAATTAATGTAGTAAATAGTATTTTGGGTATACTTTGAAATATTATCAATATTTTATATATGCTTTTAATTTGGGCCTTGAAAATAATTAGTTTTTTTCTGAAATTAAAGAAAGTGTGTTCTACTTGTTATACTTTTTCCAAAGACAAAGCTCCTGAAATTACAGAGCTTGAGAATGCTGGATTCTGTGATGTTCAAAAATATAACTGTATGGTGGTGAGAGTGTTTGGTAAAGGCTTCAGAGAATCACCTTCGATTAAATGTGAAGTCACTAAACTGAAGGTATGTTAATTATAGCGTTGAGAAACAATAGAGTTTATGAGATATTCAGATTAATATTATCTTGGATTCATTTATTCTGTCAATTAGCAATATAATCCCAAATGATGTTATATCCACAGAGAGCTGAACAGGATGATTCAGTTACATAACCTTAAAGCTCCCCTATCTGTTAACTTTATTAAAGTATTTTATATAATATTTATTGAGGATTGCTATTTTCAGTCATTAATAAAAAACTAAGAAAATGTCAAGCTTGATATATGTAAGTTTTTGTATTTCTTGAAACAAAAAAACTTGAACTTGGAACTTGAATAACATGAAGACTCAGTATGTGTACATTTGTATGTGTGTGTAGCTGTTTGTGTCAGTTCTGCTTTTCTTTCTTTGTGGGCTTCATTTTCACATTTCATTATATACAGTTGACCCTTCAACAATACAGGTTTTACCTGCATGAATCTGCTTATATGTAGATTTTTTTCCACATATAAGTGGATAATACAGTATTTATGGGATGAGAAACCACATATATGGAGGGCTGACTTTTTGTATACCTGATTGACTGCAGGACTTGACTATGCACACATTTTGGTATACACAGGGGTCCTGGAACCAATTCCCATGTAAACCAAGATGATTTTACTGGCTTTCTTCAAGTGGTGAAAAAATGTCCATCAACAGCTCCATGTTTTGTGTCTTATAACTTGAGCCACTAGAGTCAGACTGGCCCCAAGTCCTCTTTGGTACAAAGATAAAGTACATAAGTAATTGAAGGATTGGCCCAGCTCAGGTCTACCGCTAGACCAGTCAAATATAGACAGGGAGGTTGGTCATATAAGAACATGAGAGGCCCTGCAGAAACCACGTAGATGAAGGGCAGTTCAAGTAGATGTAGAAGGTGGGGACTTTTGCCGGAGAAATGAGGGAGTTTCCTGGCAATCAATCTATTGTCTGTCAAACATAATACATGGCCAAGTGAATTTCCTTTTGCTACAAAGGTAATTACATAGTGATCCATTATATGTGGCCAATATTGGCAACCTCCAAGAAATGCATGATTCATTGGAAGCACTTTACGTCAAATTAAGATGTATACATCTTTTATTATTCTGAATAAAACTCATTCTCAATGTGGCTTTTGTTTTGTCATGACATATTCCATTATGCTAGGTGTATATTTCAAAATTTATGTTTTTATTATATGTAATTCACTAGCAAAATATTTCCATAATTTAACAGAGTTTAATTACTTTCTTATTACACCTTCAGTATAACAGCAGTAAATGGGTGCTTGCAGAACCCGTCTATGCACAGACTGTTTTTCAAAATAGCAGAACTGTTGATTGTCAGCTGCCCACTGATGTTCAGCAGTTTGATACTGTGGATCTGATGGGTGAGGAACCAATTGAGAAGTGGCAATTAAAGGTAAAGAACTGAAGTGATATCTTCATATTTATATAAAAAAGCACATGCTTATATTTAAAATTTCATAGTGAATTTATGAGGCTACATTTAGAGCAAATTATCTCATATTAAGAGAACTACATCTTACAATCTCTACAGGTATCTAATGATGGTTATAAGTTCAGTAATCCAAAAATAATGATCATATATGATGGTGCTTGTCAAGTTTGTGGTCTCAATGAAAATGATTCATGTACGATAAAGGTATGCATCTTTTCACTTATTGTCATATTTACATCATAGTTATTTTCATTTTCATTCTGTCCACATATTAATTACAGGTTTTTTCACCTTTGTATTAGAAAGACTAGTAGAGAAAGGCTTCCTCAAGTTTATATAAGGTAATTGAAATTGTTACTCTGTCTGTAACTCTTGTTGAAATGGTGAGGAAGAGGTTTCCACCTTTAACATTTCACACTGGCAGATTGTTTATTCCTAAAATAGCAAAAGAAGGGGTTTGGACTGAATTGTACACTCCTTCACTCCTCCACACATTATTTTTTAAGTAGTAATAATGATTTTCCCATAAGATATCTCTTCATGGTTACTTAGTCCTTTTTGTGGCAAATTACATGCATTTGGGTAGAATTTGTAACATGTGTAAGGCTAGCACTTTTAGGGGGAGTTTTATTCTGGCAACTAAATTCACGGGAGCATGCAATTAGCTGCCACTTGGATTACAGAACAACAGCACAGCCTGAGCTGAGTCCTCAGAGCCATACCCTCTTCTTAATCTATGTCCAGTCTACTGGATTTATTGATCAGGCTTTCTCAAGTGTGAACTGCGAATTTAACAGACACCGTGGATCTAATATCACCTGACTTTTCAAAACTGAACAGCATACAAATAATATTACATATGAAAATTGAAAAGTATTTATTTTTTCTAGGTCTTTTTAAAGTCTTTTTTCTTGAGATTACCCATAAAATCATGTTAATAATAAGTTTTTGAAGGGTGTAGGGAAAAATAATAAATTTTTGTTTTTGAGAAGTTGTTTGATTTTTATTTTTCCCAAAATATTTCATTTCCACGTATCCATATATACTTTTAAAATGTTGCTTTCAAGGTTGTTTTATCCTTTAAAGGCTATTTTGTTCTACTTTTTATGCAATGTTCTAAGTGTTATCAAAGGAGATTTTTATAAAATAAGCAAAGTTTTTATATCCTGAATAAAGTTTGGTCTTCTTCCCTTAAGAATGATTGCTACATTTTATGTTCTTTCTGTGGGTTTCGGCATCTCTTTAAACTCTTTTGTGTGATGATATACATTATCAAGTGTGGATAATATGCCATGGTTCTGGTCTAGTTTTCCTGTGTTCACAGGACATAGTGGACTGCTAGGAAAAGGAAAGATAAACATAAACTAATATTATTTTATAAGATGTGCAAGAAAAAATTCAATTTTATTTCTTTATAAATAAAGTACTGCCAGCATGAGTTCAACAGTGAAAAAGTAAAAAAGAAATGTTTTCTTCCATGTATTTTGTACAGATATACAACTTAAGTGTGTTTACCTAGTCCTTCCAAATTGATCAGTTCCATAAGCATTTACACGTACAGATAATAATTTGTTTTCTAATATGCATTTGTGATTATGAAGTATAAAATATTTCTTAATAAAAATAGATTTATAATATGGTTTCATTGGAATCATCAATACATATGCTACTATCCTTCTATGTACAATTTGTTATTTCTATACATTAACTATAGCTGTATCTTTCTTGATATTTTTGTTTTTAAAAAACTTCTATTAGGAAGATGTTTGCATTATCGATGGACTCTGCTACAGTGAAGGGGATAAAAATTCAACCAGCCCTTGTTTGATTTGTAGACCCAAAATTTCAAAATTTACTTGGTCATTTTTAGAAAGTAAGTTATTCTTTATTAATCCAAATATTTCTTATATGAGATATTTTTAAAGTGGTTTTAAGCCACAAATTACATAAACATGTTTAAGATGAATGAACTCTGTGTTTAATTTAGCATCTCTTGTAACTGTGTAATTCACTTTGCCAGAATGAAATATAAGAGAAAGATTTTATATATACATGTATGTAATTTCTGTGATTATACTGCAACAAGATGTGGGATATTTATTTCAATATTTGATAAGAAAAGAAAATATGAATTATTAATAGAAGAAATGGGAATTGTGAATTCAGTTACACATAATTTCCTATTTTTAGCCTTACCTCTGTTCAGTTTTGCAACAAGGCATTTAACCATTTAAGCGCCAAAGGCCATGGGTTCATTAGCTGTTAAATAAGGTATCTGGACTTGATAATCTATAAAGTGCCTTCCAGCACTACCATTCTATGATGTGGTGAGTATAATATTGGGTAGAGATAATTTAGGACAGTTTGTTCCACCAAAAAAAAATCCCAAATTATAGTCATGTACCATATAACTTCTTCACTTTCCTAAACACATCTATGTATGATTCCTTATGTGTGTCTAATTTCTTTTTCCTCATGGGGAGATCAGGCATTAGTAGATACAGTAGGACACAATTATTCCCTGGCCTTATGGAATTTTATCTAAGGGAGTCATAAAACTGTATTTGTTCAGTGCTCGGGATATCTTTATACATGTTATTGGAAGTGCAAATTTCATTACTGTGTTAGACTATTTTTTGGATGATTCATTGCTTTGGTACAAGACTCATGGAATATTGTGTGAAGACAATGGAAATTGGAGGAAAAATTTAGTGCAAGAGATAGGGTAAACACAATATAACTTCTGAATCAGTGCCTGTTTTTTAATTAGTGTGGTAATGAGTGATTTGTTATAGATTTATAGTGTTTAAGGACATAAGTGATCTTAAAAATATCATCTGTTTCAAATCCCTTGTAGGAGGATGAGGAAATTAAGATCAATAAATTAGGTTGTTTGTGTGAGGATATACAGGGGCGGAACCGGACCCAGAACCATGGTCTCTCGGCATCAGTATTTTGTCAATGCAAGAAGAGAGTTTGTGCCCAGTACAATGTAATGAGCCTACTCATTCCATCTGTTAAACCCGTAGGCTAGGACGGTGGACATTTAAAAATATAAGACGATATTAAAAAACATGTCTTAAATTGTTTCATGGGCATAAAAAGAATTCTGCCTGTCTTCTGAAATAGCCACTTTTCTAGTGTGTCAGCTTGGCCACTAGAAGGACCTCTGAGGAGTAGAACATGGGCATGATTAGTGGCCCCCAGTTATTACAAGTGGGGAGGCAAGTACAGTGCAGGGGGGCCCATGCAGTAATGGGTAGTAAGGGAGGAATAGAGAAACAGAGGAGTAGAGAGAGAAAGTGAGGCTGAAAGGAACAGAGTGCAAAGGAACGAGAATAAGAGAGAGCAAGCAGTGAGGTGGTCAACACCAAGAAGTAACCTAAGATGGGAGGAGCTGTATCCAGTGCGGGTAGTGCACATGTATTTATAGATTCTATGATGTATTCAAAGTGCTTTCATGGTCTCAGAGCAAAGCCTGAGGTCTTACACCTATCAGTTCCTTTTACATTTTCTAAGAATGGAATTGAATTTATTCAGAATGTCAGAAAAAAAAAAAAAAAGGAAGCAGTTAATAGAACTTTCAGTAGAGCTCAGTCTTTGTCAAAATGCCTGTCTCTGTGGGAGCTCTTAGAATCACACTTCTTTCCTTTTCTGCACAGGTACAGAGTTAAGTGTTTTCTCTGTTACAGACAACCAACCCCCAGTGATTCAAACATCACAAGACAAATTACAGACATTTTATGGGGAAAACTTTGAATACCAGTTCATGGCTTTTGATCCAGAAGGTTCTGATATCCGTTTTATGTTGGACTCTGGTCCTGAAGGAGCAAGTGTTTCCTCTGCAGGACTTTTTATGTGGAAAACAGAGTCAGAAACTCCCCAGCAATTCACTCTACACCTTAATGATGACTGTGGTGCAGAAACTAGAGTTACGATTGAGGTAATATTGGAGGACTTAAGTGTTACTCGATTCTTTAACAATTTTAGAAACTATATTTTAAATTTAAAATAAAAGTTCTATTCTTAATTGTTAAGAACAATGATGTTATTAAACGTTGCATGGAAAATTAAATTGCCAAAACTTTGACTATTCTTTGTAAGAATTTAAAACCTCAGAGAGAATCTCAAGCCCAGAAGCATGAATCTAAATTAATAATTTCTACATTGTTTCATTCCACACTTAACTGTGACAAGGATGAAGAATTCATTATTTCCACCTCCAAGAAAGATCTGTGATTAATCTAAGCTTGATAATTTTACCCTTTTCCTTCAGGTGAAAGAATCTCAGATGTTGAATTAAAAATCAAGATTATAAATATGAGTTGAAATAACTAACTGGCA